ATGGCCAGAGAATGTATTCTGTATTTTTTCAGTCCTTAAAAACTGATAGAGACTTACTTTTTGGTCTTTTGGTGAACGTTCAATGCATACTTAAAAAGAATGTGTATTTTATAATTGTTGGTGGTTATGTTTTATACATGTTAATTAGGTCACGTTTATTAGTAGTGCTATTTCACATCTTATGTGTACTTATTATTTTTTGTTTGTGTGTTACTTCTTCTATCAGTTACCAAGAGAGATGTGTTAAAAATCTCAACATGATTATGAATTTGCATATTTCTTCTTTGATTTAAATTTTTGCTTTATGTATTTTGAGACTCTTGTTATTTGGTATCTAAAAATTTAGAGTTGTTATATCTTACTGATGAGTTTACCACTTTTTTTTTTTTGAGGAAGATTAGCCCTGAGCTAACATCTGCTGCCAATCCTCCTCTTTTTTGTGAGGAAGATTGGCCCTGAGCTAACATCTGTGCCCATCTTCCTCTATTTTAAATGTAGGACACCTGCCACAGCATGGCTTGATAAGCAGTGCGTAGGTCCGCACCCAGAATTCAAACTGGTGAGCCCCAGGCCGCCAAAGTGGAGCTGTGAACTTAACTGCTATGCCACTGGGCCAGCCCCACCACTTTATTATTATAAAATATATCTTCATATGTTTGTAATACTCCTTTTGTCTTGATTTCTATTTTGTCTGATATAAACATAGTCATGACAGCTTTTTTATAGTTAATGTTTGCATAGTATGTATTTTGTCATGGTAGTGCTGGCCAGTGACAGAAGGCAGGGCCTAATCTATGTCCACAGGCAGCTGTGGGGTGCCTTGGCTCTTGCTGCCCTCAACAGGTGGCTGCATATTCCCTCCTCCATGTCCCCCATGCATGCTGCAGTGGAGGTCAGTGATGGGTGTCAGGCCAGTGGTGCACAGCTGGAGGGGCTAGTCCTGAGCATGGGCACAGTGGTAGATGTCAGGGGTAGGGAAGTGCTAGACTGGTGTCTTGCACTCACACAGCTGCAGAAGCCTGAGTTGGCTGTGAGTGTGGCTTCTGGGCTCCAGTGGGGATGTGGAGGGACTCTGGTCGCTGGTGTCTTGCACTTGTGCAGCTGCAGGGATCATGGATGGTTGTGGTATGGGTTACGTGGTGGCGAGGAGAGAGTCAGGCAGCTAGGCTAGCATCAGCGAACGCAAGTACCTGTGGGAGGAAAGCTGGCGAGATCTGCGCAAGTCCACAGTGGCTGTGTTGACCTTGGGCTTTGTCAGAAATCTGCAGTTTGTCCGCAGGGCTGGTCTCTGTGAACTGTGATTACTCCCACTGCTTGTCTGCTAATAATAGCTTCTGCTTTTTTCCCTTGTTCCTAGCTGGCTCGGTACCTCTCAGTTTTGCTGTCTGGGTAGGGTGAAACTGAAGCAGGGCCTTTGCGCAGTGCGCTTCCAGGCTGGCGAAGCTTGGTTGCTTATCTCACTTTTCCTTTCCTTGCAAGAGGAAATCTTTCTACCTGAGAAGTTCCTTCTTAAGCACTGAACAATGCCAGTTTTGGAGGATAGGATAAGGCAGGCAAAATGAATTGGCTTTCATTTTCTTCTTGTGTGATTATTCTCAGTTTTGTTTTGTTAAAACTTATAAGTGGACTCTAGAGGTCTCCAGAGCTGCTTTTGTTTGTAGATTAGTGTCCAATTGTTGATCTTTGTGGGGCAACCAGGAAATGGTTTTTTCTTCCAACTGATAGGCAGTTTTTTCTTCCTTTCAGTACTTTAAATGTGTTGTTTCGTTATTGACTGGCTTTCATTGTTTTTGATGAAAAGTGTGCCATATTTCTTATTCTTTGGTCCCCTGTACATACCCTATAGCTGCTTTAAAATTTTTTCTCTTTATTGAAGATACTCAGTAATTTGATTTTGATGTGGCTCCTGTAGTTTTCTGTTTTATCCTGTCCCTCAGCCAAGACCCTATATGTTATTCACCTACTTATGCCTATACTTGGCAATGCCTCTAACAGTCACCAGTCTCTGCCAATTCAAAAGGGCTTATCTTTCTGGAGTTTAGTTCCTTAGATTCCTTTGCCTCCACATCTCTCTGATAGCTTTTAAAAGATATAACTGTGTTTTTTACAGATGAATAACCAATTACTTCAGTGTCATTTATTATATAAACCACCCTTTTCCCTCTAAAATTGAAATATCTCCTTTGTCATAGCTTAAGTTCTACATTATACCTGGATCTATTTCTAAGCTCTATTCTCTTTATATTACTTTTGTAGTCCTATATTATTTTTAAACTATTTTGTTTTCAGTATGTTTGTCTTAAGTTTTAATATTTCTAATGCAAGTCCCTGCTTAGTCTTATTCAGAATGTTTTGGGCTCTTTGTATCTAACTGGTGGGATTACACATTGATACTAATCACTTTGGGAATTAAAGAAAATTTTGGTCACCATCCTAAGAGTGCCCTCACAGTGTTGGGCCCCATGTAGAACTAGGGTAATGGCTTTCTCCTCAGCTTTGTGCCACACTTTATTACCTGGATCACAAAGCATTTCTGCTTGGGCCCTGACTCTCAAAGTCACTCTTGACTGGGTCCATCCATTCTTAGTCCTCACCACCATTCTTAGCCAACAAGGGCTGACACATTGTTCAGTAGAGCTGAACCTTGAACAGATACCATGCCATTCTTTATTTTTCTTTTTACTCTCTCCTACAACTGTAATATTCTAAATTTCTATTTACTTTTCAAACAACACCTCTAAGATGCTAATGTGATGAGACAGAGAAAAACAGAGTGTTATGTATATCAGAAGTTAACTAAAAGTTTTCTCCGTTGCATGGAAGAAGGGAATGTGGTTGTTCCTCAATAGAAGAGGTGATTAAAGAAGAAGTGTGTTCATTCAGAATGGGTCAAATTAAAAGGACTGATAATACCTAGTATTGGTGAGGATGTGGAGTATTCGATCTTACACATTGCTGGATCCTCATCCATTGCTGGTGGAAGTATAATTTAATAAACCTGTTTTGGAAAAATGTTTGGCATTGTATACTAACCCTCAACATACATGTATTATGTGTGTTAACAAGTCTGTTACTAGGTATATATACAACAGAGAAAAATGTTTATGTCCATTAAAAGATGTATACAGTTATAGTTATAACAGTTTTATTTGTGACAGCCCTAAAATGGAAACTACACAGTAAAATGGGTAATAAATTACAGTATATAAATATAATGAATACTACCCAGCAGTGCAAAAAAGGAATTACTGATATATATAACAACGTGACTGACACTCACTGATAAAACTTTGAGAGAAATCAATCAAAAGATGATGCTGTTTATATGAATTTCAAAAACATGTCAACTATTAAGGAATAATAGTGAAATAATCTGGCCATTATTATGGACTGGAAGGGAACATGAGGGAGCCTGTTTCAGTTATGAAAATGTTTTATATTTTCATCTTGCTTATGGTTACACAGGTGTTATGTATTTGTAATATTTTATCAAGGTGGTAAGTTAAGATTTTTGCATCTTACTGTATGTAATTATACCTCAGTATAGAGATAAAAGTGAATTTAAAATTTTTTTTTAATTATTTTTATGCATTTCCTCTGATTCCCTACCTCCACCCAAGAAAACCCCAAACAATTCTGCTCACTGGAATCACATTAAATTTGCCTAATAATCTGGAAATACTTTATTGATACAACACTAAGCCTTTTTTTAAAAAAAATCAGTGTATAATACTTATTTAGGTAGTTTTCTATATCTTGTAATTTTTTATAATTTTCTTCATTGACATTTATACCTTTCTTGAATTTATTCTTAGATATTTTTAGTTGTGAACAGGCTCCTCATTTATGTTTCTTATATATTGCCAGTATTAAAAAGTTATTTTGTACTTTTGTCTTTTGTCAGCTGTTTTGTCAAATCTTTCCATTATTAATCTACTTTAGTAGAGACTCTTAGATTTTCTTATCAACTGTAGGAAAGGAGAATTGTCTTTACCAATATTTTACTAGCTTTTCCGTTAACTAAAGATGAAAACCCGTGTTGAATGGTTTGGCATGTGTTCTTGTCTTGTTTCCTTTTTGAGTTGAAATGTCTTAAGCATTTCAACAACAAATATATTTTAGTCTTTGTTTTTATCTTGTTTACGTACATTTCATCTAACCCTGGTTTTTCTAGAAATTTTTTTTAAAGCTTGGCTGCAGAATTTTATCAGATACCTTTTGGAGATCCAGTAATGTAATCATTTAATTTATTTTTCTCCTTTTTTGATAAATTGAATTATTTGATTTCCCAATATTGAGCCATCCTTGCATTCCTGGAAAAAATGCATTTTTAAATATGTGATGTGTACTCTTTTTATGCACTACTAGGAGATTAGGTTTTCTGATGCTTTGAAAGTTTGTATTTATGTGTAAGTGAAATTAGTTTTTGTCATTTTTGCAATATGGTTTGAATATTAGTATCTATAGTTGCTTAATAATTTATTACACTTAATGGAATTGGTAAAGTCAGGTTTGTATTGTGTGGATTTTGAACACATTTTGGAAACCTAGTTACTCACATTTTAATTGCCTTTAAAAATAAGAGAATCTTGGGCTGGCCTGGTGGCACAGTAGTTAGGTTCGTGTGCTCCACTGCAGTGGCCCAGCATTCACTGGTTCAGATCTCAGGTGCCAACCTACACACTGCTTGTCAAGCCGTGCTGTGGCAGGCATCCCACATATAAAATAGAGGAAGCTGGGCACAGATGTTACCTCAGGGCCAATCTTCCTCAGCAAAAAGAGGAGGATTGGAGGCAGATGTTAGCTCAGGGCTAATCTTCCTTCAGAAAAAACAAAGAGGGAATCTCTACTTTTATATGGCTGCAGAGAAATAATTTCAGGTAAGTAGTGTTCTTGGTTCAAATAGAGACACACAGAGAAAACCACAGACTTTTTTGGAAATTTATTTGCTATAAATATCAATTTTTTTGAAGTTTCATTTTTCTTTTTCTTTTCCACAGTCCGTTGTGGATGACTGGATTGAATCATATAAACAAGACAGGGACATCGCACTTCTGGATTTAATCAACTTTTTTATCCAGTGTTCAGGATGTCGAGGTACAGAATGTTGGAATAAATGATGTACATTGAGCCTGTCAGTCCATCAGTCTTAAATTTACTTCACCTTCAATTAGTTATTTATACTTCATCCTCGATTTATGTGCTAATCTTTTTTCTGATAAAGAAAGTTATTAAGTTATTTAAGGATATTTCATTTTGTTCTGGTCCATTTTGTTCCTAAAAACAAACTGACTTCTGAATTTTTTGAAATTTGGAAGGAAATGTAAAATTCATTTAATGAATTTATTAATTCAGTTTTTAGATCATAAGCTTTTATGCTTAATATTTTACTGATATTATTTTACTTATGCTTCATCTTAGGAACTGTAGTAGTTGTTAACATTCATTATTTTGTATCCTTGTCAGTATTTTGGTCATCATTTTATGGATGAAGTACTTGAAACTCAAATAATTTGCTTAAGGTAACCTAAGTATCACAATCAGGTTTCTTAAGTTTACAATCTGTTGGAAATCCATAGACAGTTTGTTAAAATAGAAATTTATTTTTATTATATTAATAGATAACTGAGAGATTCTCTGGAATAGATAAGTCTTAATAATAGATTAGATTCTGCTACATGGGGTAAATCAGTTGGTAAATAACCATTCTTTGCCTTCCAATACAGAAAGAACAGTGATCTTTTATTGAGACCACTGATCAAATTGGTTTCTTAAAGGCTTTCTTATTTCTGTCTACCTTATCACCATATTGACATAAGTAGTTTATCAAATATTTACAGAGCACCTCCCTTGTGCTGAGCACTATTCCAGATTGTGCAAATGTTATCAAGACAGCCTCTGCTCCAGGAAGTATTAGAGTATGTGTAATTTTTAAAGGAGGCTTTATTGCAAGGAACAAAGAAGGAAATACACCAATAGTTCAATCAAGTGCTCTGTGCCATTATAAGAATAATAAACTGATGACTATTTAATGGCTATCTAGTATATGCTTTATGTACATTAGCTTATTTTATATTGGTTAACAGTCCTATCAGGCAGGTGTGATCTTTATTTTATAGATCAGGAAATGGAGAATAAAAGGCTTAGGTAAGTTTTTGGACTTCAAACAGTTTGCAAGTGCCAAACTCATGTATCAGAGTCAGGCTCGTCTCAGTCTGGATTCTATATACCTAACCACAGGATGCCATGGGAGTAACAAGAAGGGGCTTCTGATCCGTCCCAGGCTGTGTGTTTCTGTGTATGTGTGATGTGTAGATGTTTGTAAGAACGTGCATCCCAGAGGAGGAAACTCTGTGGTGAGACTGAGACTGAGTTAAAGAAAGTTAAGAGAGAGGGGAAAGGCCAAAGTTAACACATTGTGCAAAAATGCGTGAAGATAAGAAAGCATGGCACACACTAGTACAGGGAGTTTATGGGTGAATCCTAGAACATGGAAACTGGTGAGGCAAGAGATTAGGCTGTTGAAGGAAAGCAAGTTTAATTTTACAGCCTTAAAATGGGCAAGGCAAGTACTGAGTGATGTGCTTTACATATATTATTTCATCTAATCTATGTAAGTGTCTTGTTGGACTGGGTTTTAATTTTAAAATAACTGGTAGTCTTTAAAATTTTTCCTTTTGTAATTCATTCCCATGGTTCAAAAAACCGAAAAAAAATTGGAAATACAAAGCAAAAAGTCTTTACCACTTTCAGCCTTCCCATCTATCTCCAGAGTTAACTGTTAACTACTTTGTTGTATATCCATCTATCTATCTAATTTCCATATGTATAAGTAGGAACATACTCTTTCCTTCTCCACTCTTACGGGGAAGATACTGGTGTATAAAGAGCTTTCTCAGGTTTTTTTCCTTTTTCTTTTAATACAGCGTCATAGCATTCCCTTGAGTATATGTATAATAATTTACCTAACTAGTCGTCTATTAACAAACCATTGCATTATTTTTAGTCTTTTGCTATTACAAACCGTGTATTTTGTGTATACCTTATTTGCTCTTTGTGGAAGAATGTCTGTAGGTAAGTGTATTTGTAATTGTATTAGATAATGCCAAATTTCTTGCTATAGAAATTGCACGCATTTTTACTCCCATCAGTAATATATAAGAATGCTTGTTTCTTCTCAATCTATTCAACAAAGTGTTTTCATCCAATTTTTGGAATTGGTTTTATGAGCAATTTAAAAATTACACATCAGTGAGATTTCTTTAAAATTGACGTGAAATTCACTTGACAGACAACCATTTTAAAGTGTATAATTCAGTAGCATTTGCTGCATTTACAGTGTTGTGCAACCACCTCTCTGTAGTATTAAAACTTTTTCATCAACCCAGAATACCTCATATTCATTAAGTAGTCATTCACCATCCCCCTCTCCCACCCAACCCTTGGCAACCACTAATCTACTTTCTGCTTGTATTGATTTGCCTGTTCTGGTCATTTTATATAAAAGGAGTTGTATAATATGTGACCTTTTGTGTTTTATTTCTTTCACATAGCATAATTTCTTCAAGGTTTATCCGAGTGGTAGTATATAAGAATAATTCATCCTTTTTTATGGCTGAATAACATTCTATTGTATGTATATATCACAATTTGTGTATCTGTTCATCTGCTGATGGACATTTGGGTTGTTTCTAGCTTTTGGTAACTATGAATACTGCTGCTATGAAAATTCATGCACATATTTTGGTTTGAGTACTTGTTTTTAAATTCTTCAGGGTAAATGCCAAGGAGTGGAATTGCTGGAGCATATGGTAATTCTACTTTAACTTTTTGAAGAACTTCCAAACAGTTTTCCATAGTGGCTGCAGCATTTTACCTTCCTACCAGAAATGTATGAGGATTTTTATTATTCCATATCCTTTCCAACACTTTTATTTTTCAGTTGAACTGTCCTAGTTCTTGTGGTTTTGATATGCACTTTCTTAATGACCAATGAAATTGAAACTTTTTTTTTTCCTGAGGAAGATTTGCCCTGTTGGCAGTCTTCCTCTATTTTGTATGTGAGCCACCACTACTGCATGGCCAGTGACAGACAAATGGTATGTGTCCACGCCTGGGAGTTGAACCCAGGCTATCAAAGCTGAGCACACCTAACTTAATCACTAGGCCGCTGGGGCTTGTCCCTGAACATCTTTTTCATGTGCATTTTGGCCATCTGTATATCTTCTTTGAAAATGTGTATTCAAGTCTGTGCTCATTTTTAAATTTGATGATTTTGATTTTGTTGTGAGTTGTAAGAGTTCTGTATATATTCTGGGTACTAAACCCTTATCAGGTATGTAACTTACAACTATTTTTTTCCCATTCTGTGAGTTATCTTTTCACTTTCTTAAAGATGTCCTTTGATGCACAAAGGTTTTAAATTTTTTTTTTTAAAGATTTTATTTTTTCCTTTTTCTCCCCAACGCCCCCTGGTACATAGTTGTGTATTCTTCGTTGTGGGTTCTTCTAGTTGTGGCATGTGGGACGCTGCCTCAGTGTGGTCTGATGAGCAGTGCCATGTCCGCGCCCAGGATTCGAACTAACGAAACACTGGGCTGCCAGCAGCGGAGCGTGCGAACTTAACCACTCGGCCACGGGGCCAGCCCCCAAAGGTTTTAAATTTTTATGAAGTCCAATTTATTTAAATTTTTCGCTCATATATGTGGTGTCAAATCTGAGAATCCATTGCCAAATCCAAGGGCATGAAGGATTATCCCTCTGTTTTCTTCTAAGAGTTTTATAGTTTTAGCTCTTATATTTAGGTCATTGATTCATGGTTAATTTTTGTATATGGATAATTTTAATTTGTATTTCTCTCACAAGTGAGGGTTGAGAGCCATGTGCATTTCTTTTTCTGTGAATTCTCTTGTTCCTATCAGTTGTCAGTTTTCCTTTTGGCTGTCTTCATTGTTCTTGAAAAGGCACTTGACAAAATGGATTTTAAAACATTTTGATAAAAGAGACATAGATGCATATTTTCTTAATATGATTAACAAAGAGAGCACACTTGTCTCTTGCTCGGTGGAATATAATAAAAATCCAGAAATAGACCCAGTTACGTATGAAACTTTAAGCAGATATGAAAGAAGTGAATTGGAAATTATAACTACACCAAGATACCATTTTTCACTCATTAGATTGATAAAAATTAAAAATTACAAGAACGCTCTTGATTAAGCTGTGAGGAAACAGAGACTGTTACATTGTTTGTTGGAGTACAAATTAGTACATCTCTCATGGAAAGAGATTTGGCAGTATCTCCCAAAACGACATGTTTTTATGTTTTGACCCAAACATGCTACTTCTGGAATTTTGCCATGAAGATATACCTCCAGCATTAGGAAAATAAGTGCACAGAGTTATGCAATACAATGTATTTGTAATTTCACAATATTGGAAACAACCTAAATGCTCATATATAGGACAGTGATTGAGTAAACTGTGGTACAGTTCCACAGTGGAGTTTTTTGGCAGTGTTAAAACGAAAAAGAAAGATCTCTGATGCAGGGAGATTTTCAGAATACGTTTTTAAGGGTAAAATGCACAGTGGAAAAGAATATCTAAAGTATGCAGCTTTTTTTGGAAGAAAGAAGGGGGAATAATGGAATATACACATACACAATATTTACCTAATCTCTAAATGTCTCCTTACCAAATATCTTTTATTTAGAATGGATAAAATAATAACTTTATCATGTACAAACTTGGTAGACACTGCTGTAACCAAATGTTGAAAACAGACATGCCAGTTATAGAACCAGTCAATAGCATGTGCTTCCTTGTATGCAGTTAGAAGAAGAACTCAACCTCACTTCCATAGCATTCTTGCCTGAAGTGCAGAGCCTGAATCTACTCTTGAGGAAACATCAAACTTAGACTGAGATATATTCTTCAAAATAACAATTCTGTACTCTTTAAAACCGTCAAGGTCCTGAAATACTGAGAAATGACTAAGGAACTGGTCCAGATTAGAGACTAAGGAAACATTACAATGGACTACATGATCTTAGATTTTTCTTTTGACATAAAGGACATTATTGAGACAAATAATGAAA